AGATTGTAGTTGGATGCGATGAGACTGCGTCTGGCATTGATGGCAAGAAGCCAATGGAATCAAAGGTGGTTAGGGACCTCAATAAATATTTGGTCGGTCACTTGAGATGGAAGTTGAAAAGAAGACGCAGTAGGAGCCCTGTTCACAAGATACATTATGGTCTTAGTAGTGATTCGGGAACCCAGGCTTTTGATAGATTCTTATCTAATTCATCCTTGCAAGTTGATACAGACAACTGTAAATATGCTGGTGATGCTCTTCACACTTCATCAGTGGCGTCTTCTTTTCCAAACTTGGTTATGTCTAGGTGATCTTTTTCCTTTTTCAGTTCCCAACTCTTTTTGGCCAAAATGAAGGAGCCATTTTACTTGTACATGTTACACTGATGCATTAGTTTGATGCAGTTGTCAGCTATAGATATAGGTTTCTTGACTTATAAATGTTCGTCAATGCGGGGAGATATTTTATTTAAGGAATGATTACTAGAATCTACCAGTGACTGTAAATTAGATGTCTAATTGCCTTGGGTAGTGTTCTTGCAAGTTGTAACCTCAGTTTTGGTGTAGCAGAATTTTGTAGGACATTCTTATTTGATTAACGTCGTTCCAATCTTCTATTGGAATTTACATTTGTAGTCTGTATAATATCTTTTCTAATAAATTTCTGATTTTTGATACCTTGTTATTGGTTTTTTGCTACTTGATATTTCAGTAGTTGAAATAGGTCCTGAATATTCTTGATGTAGAAACTAGATTTAAAAAAAAAAAAAAAAAGCCATTTCCTGTAGTTATTTTTAACAGTGTTGAATGTAATATATGGCATTCAATCATAAATATGTTTGATTCGTATGTATACATTTTTGCTCATTGCAGCGTGTAAGGTTTTGCCTGTCCCGTTGGCAGTCAAATTTGTCACAAGGTTTTGCCTGGTTTGTCTATTGCATGAAATTTCTTTGTTGACTCTAAATTCTCTAATAATTTCACCTTAATCATCTATTTTTAACAACTTGTCTCTAAAATCCCCATTTTCTCTAACAAAGAAGCGTATGTATCTGATATAAAAGATGACGGGATCCTTTCATCGTGGTAAGTAGACTGATAAAATGTCACTTTCATTGCCCACTACCCGATCACTTTTACCCAACGAAAATGATCATGATTCCTTAAATGCTGCTGGATATGATCTCCTTATGTTGGAAATATGTCACCCAAGTCAAAGGGTGGCCATCTTCCGCGAGCTACCCTTGCCACTGTGGAATCCTTAACCATGCCTCTTGTGCGGGTTCCTTCTATTTCTCCTTTTTCCTAGCAAGGGATAGATGGTACTGGACAGTATTAATTACAGAAGAAAAAGAAACTAAAATCTTCCTCTTAATATTGTCTAGATCTATCTCAATCCGTGTACAAAGCACTGGATTTTGTTGCCTTGTGCATAAAATCCTTAAAACTACATCTCTTGTGGCTTTTTTTCTGTGTCCAAAGCAGGAGCAGGAACTTGTTTTCTTAGCAGATTTTCGATGTTCAGGGTGTCAGCAGAGGGTTACTGAGATTGTGTCAAAAATGAATGGTAAGCTTTCTTCTGCACTTGGATGATTCCATTTGATTTTTTAGGTCACTGGGAAAGCCTCGTTTCGTGATTCAGTACCATCTGTCCGCCTCTAGCGGAAACTTTGCACAAATCGATTTAGAACACAGACTGACTGGTTGTAAAACTTCGTCCTCTCCTTTTTTTTTTCTTTTTTCTTTTTTCTTTTTTTTAAAGACGTCAGCATGCACAATTTTTTACAAGGATTTTGATTTGATATTGTATCGAAACACTCCATCACATGTTCCAAAGATTACTAAAGTTCTTCAATTTGTAGGAGAGATTCAATCTGTGGTGGTTAGTGTATTGGAGAAGAAGTTAACGCTGATATGTACATATCCAGCTACTGCTGATAAATTGGATGTCCAACATGTTACTGCTTCGGCGTACACAGGTTCATCAAGCAAAGCCTCCCGCATTGCTCAGCGCCTTTTTCGCTCTTTCTACGGTAGAAAGAGAGCACTAACTTAAAGAAGATCCATGGAATTAGTCAC